CAGTGGACCAGGAGATGGTTTCTTCAGTTCAGCCTTTCAGTCCCGACTGATCGGGAACAATCTACACAACGCATCCATGCCTGAGTGTGAGTCCTAAACACACCTTTGAATAAAAGCACATTATGCTGCAGCTGTGTTTACTAAAACACAAATCAAACAATGAAAAGGGGGTTAAAGAAATGTAGGCTTTCCCTTAGTAATGTTAACAGGCAGACAGGCTGATGTGTGTGCTTACATTTTGCTGTCTTCACAAAGTGACTATTCTTTATGCTCCGTTCCTTGTGTTGATGGCTCTTTGAAGCCTACAATTATGATTAATTAAAATGTGTTTGTTTCTTTTGTTTTGTAACAATGTGGATGTTGTTCTCCTTTATATAGACCTGGCATTTGGCTCCACCATCACAATTAAAAACCTCCGGATTGCTGGAGGATATCTGCACTCTCATTGGCACTTATACCCAGAGGGAGTGGGATCAAAGCAGCAGCAGGTCAGGCTACAGTGTGAAACATTATCAAATATAATTAACTAGCTATTTTCTTTATAGTTATTGTAAATAAACAGTTTTCCCTGCCATGTCCTTACAGGTGACAGCCTACCTCCATAAAGACTACAACAACTTGTGGCTGGTTCACAGACCGGATGAAAATGAATGTGAGCACATGGGGTACTGATACCAATAGCATGTATTTAAGCCATAAGGAAGCAATGTATCAGCGTCTTATTGTTTGTCTATATTCAGCTCAATCTGGGACACCTGACCTGGTTCGTCATGGAGACATCATTAGACTCGAGCACGTAGAGTACGTACAATGACTCCACAAAGCAGTACAATTAAACCTATTGTTAATTGTCCATCGATTTGAATCCAATGTCATTCTAATCCAAATAATGTGCGTGTATTTACAGAACAACCCGTAACCTTCACAGTCACCTCCATGAGGCCCCTCTGACCAAGAAACACTTCCAGGTTACAGGATATGGCATTGTGAGTACACCCATAACATTACTTTTTGTTCACCTTACGGCTCTTTACATTTGAAGGGTGACATGTAAGAAGACCTCAGGGTGAAGTTTGCTTTTTTGATGCCAAACAGTTAATGGCCTTAGATTCAAGATTCAAGGCTTTATTGTCATGTGCACAATAGCCACAGTGTAGATATGGCAATGAAAAACTTAAGTCACAGGCTCCTCCAACAATGCAACATGAATATAAATAAGACATAAAACAAATACAATTATGAAAAGCACACAACGAAATGTAAGCAAACACTGAAATAAAACGAAAAAAAGGCAGAGTTGGAGAGGCATCATCACCGGCACCATCTTATCATCATCATCATTATAGCGCATTCAAAACGTATTACATTCTAATTGCATGCCATTATATGCCGTATTTGTATGTCCTCAAGTCTAAAAACACATCATCACCTTTGGCCTCTTTTTAGAATGGCACGGGTGACAAAAACGACCTGTGGCAGGTGGAGGTGTGTGGAGGCCGTAAGGGGGACCTGGTGAAGGTGCTGCGTAGCAAAGTGCGCTTCCTGCACCGAGCTACCGGCTGTGTGCTTTACTCCTCTGGAAAGACTCTCCCAAAGTGGTAAAAAAAACACTTTAGACTGCTCCTCCTTTTCTATTCAAGATGCGTCATGTGTATAGACAGTCAAGGACATGTTTTCTTTCTGTTCAGGGGCTGGGAACAGGTGGAGGTGACCTGTAGTCCCTACTTAAAGGAGACTCCCAGCTCTCAGTGGAACATTGAAGATCATATCAACCCCAGATGTAAGAAAAACATACTCTTTGTACTCCTATGATCTTTTCTACTCTTCATGATGTTAAACACTAATCAACTTAATCCTTTCCCCCCTCTTTCAGTGCCCAACATTAGTTTGTCTGTGCTGAAGCCCCATTTCCTGGAGATCTTACTGGAGTCCCACATTGTGATGATAAGAGTAAGACACGGTGACATAACATGTAAATCCATCTGTGCGGTATGATTTTAATCAGAGACACTTTATTGACATAAAATGTGTCTTTTTTTTCTAGGGTAACAGTGGCCTGAAACCCAAAGACAATGAGATGAACTCAAAACCCTGGCATTGGCCAGTCAACTATCAGGTGCGTTGAATAATCTAGGGTAAAATGTACATTTTTGGAAAACGTTAAAGCTTAATAAAATTAAAATACAAATGTTGATCGGTTCATTTCTGTAAAGGGTCTGAGGTTTTCTGGAGTGAATGACACAGAGTATCGTGTGTACCTGCTGGGGAACCCCGTAAGTCCATCTTAAACATGCCCCATTGTTTTCTGTTGTCACTCTTCCCTTAGAAAAACATGTTAATACACTCATGATTTTATACTTTTTTCTTTTAGGTGGTTTGGTGGATACATTTGGCTAGTTTGGGATTGTATCCTATCATGGCGGCAGTGGCAGCTATAGCCCTCAAAAGAGGTTTCTCATTGAGCCAAAAAAGAATAGGTATGATAATGGCCAGAAATACAGATACGTGGTAACTGAAGCATTTAAAAGCAAATATATGTGACAAATAATTGTTGTGTTCTCCACTTTGTCTTTCAGAGCATTCTCATGTTCTCATGAGAGAAGGAGGATTGCTGCTCCTCGCCTGGCTGCTGCACTATGCACCTTTCTATACGATGGGCCGTATCCTCTACTACCACCATTACTTCCCTGCAATGCTCTTCAGCAGCATGCTCACAGGTACCATTCATACTTTATTTTAGCTTCCTCCATTATATAGAACCAGAGGTGTTTTAGGGAGCGAGGAGGGAGAGATGTAAGGCAAAGATAGATCCACTTGGACTTTAGGACACTTTGGGAGTCAAAGTTTAAAAACTGACCACGCAAAACACATTTCTGGCCATACCTCTAGAATACATACTCTTATTATAGCAATCTCACGCAATGTCTTATGGGATAAATTAATGACGATAATTTTGGACGGACAAAGATTGTGAGTTTCTTTTTTTACACATACAGTATGATTGATTAATTGTGATCTAACGTCCATACATTTGCTCAGATATTATTGCAAAAAAAAAACTACATTTCACTCCAGAACTTAGAATCATAAGGTTTATGTCCGAGTTTTATCCGATGTGGGCCCACACTTTCAGACTTTCAAAGACCCTTGATTAATGTTGTCATGTCACCGTCATGTTGGTCCGAGGGTTAAAAGCATTGTGTTTGTTTTTCACAGGAATTACATTTGACATTCTGTTGAAAAGCACTGACCTGCTAATTCGCCGGCCTTATTGTGATTGGCTGCAGAGACTCGGGCAGATGGTTCTTCTCTTCAGTATTCTTTACAGGTGAGATGAATATAGAGACACTTCATAATCAGATTAGATTCAGTCTGTGATGTCAATGCATTTAACAAGGTTTCTTGTGATTAAATACTGAACAAAAATATAAACAAAACATCTTTGTGTTTTAAAATCAAGAGATAGATGGGAAGATCTATACCACTCTCATATTTGTCTTTTAAGGCTAAAGCTACAGCCAGCAAGTGCTTAGCTTAGCACAAAGATTAGAAGCTAGGAAAACAGCAAGCCAGGTTTAGATTACCTCATAACCTTTTTTTTATTTTTTATGATTGCTTCTTTGACTTTGTATAAATCCCTTTAATCAATCTCTTTGCTTCAGTTTCTACCTGTTTCATCCGCTCTCCTACGGCATGAAGGGTCCTCTGGCACACGAGCCAGGCAGCGCCATGGCCGGCCTGAAGTGGATGGACTCCTGGGAGTTCTAGTCAGCTTTGCACGAAGAAGACAGATTTTATTTTAATGTAGAACTGGTCTGACTATGAGGGACGTATGGTCTTATTTTACATAATGTACTGCACATACTACCATAGAATCTCTACCAACTCATGTATTATTGAGTGTCCGAACATTTCTTATTGTTGAGTATTAAAGCATGTAATGTGTAAAGAGTGCTTTATGAGAATGATCTGAATCAGTGCAATATAAATGCCAGAGTGTTGTGAAGTATTTAGGAATACAGATCTAGACAATAATGTTCACCAAGCTGCCTTAACTAACTCCACATCTCATATCTTGGACTTAAAGAAATACAATGTGTGCGTACTGTATGTCACAATAATAAGCTCAAGTGCCTGTAAGGAGCTAGTAAAATAACTCTAAAAATGTTTCAAATGCTGCATCTCAGTGTTGGTGACTTTAACGAATCGGAGACTGTATTTTGTTTGTGTTTATCTTAGTGCCCAGTATTTTTTAATTGTATTTAGCGATCAGTGCTATCAAGTACTGGTTTCTGTTTTTACTTTGTAAAACTACTAGTGACTGTGTCATATACATTTCAGTATGATGAATAAACTGTGATATTCTTGTAATCTGTGGTTACTTTGGTTCATACACTATCGACAAAAGAAAAAGCTAAAAACTGCTCCAAATGTGTTTGTTTTTTCTCCAGACTAGATTATGATGACTTTTTGTTACTATTATACTTTTTGATTGTTATATTTTATTAAATCTCTTGCAAAAACTGGCTAAAATATTCAGAAATAATGAATAACATTATCACAAGATATGCCACAAATAAATATATAAATACATGAAATCATTGTATATATATATGCGATGAATACCAATAATTACAAATTAGTCCTTGAAATGTAATAACTTCCAAGATGTATACATTCCTGCTTACAGTCTAATTCTCAAAAACTATTTTACATTTATAAATATAGGGTGTTTCCCAAACGAAAGTAAAAGGTATGTTATTCAGTAGTTTTCAACCTGAAAATAGGGACCATTTGATTATAAATGATCGATTGCTTGAAGCTGTATTAACTTATTCATGTAGTCAAAGGGGGCGTTTATTCCTTGAAAGTTAATGTATCAACTGACCCCACCCAGTCAAAAACATGTACATAATGTATTTTAATGCATCTTGAATTCACTTTGATGCTATTAAACCTATGTATTCAGTCTTTATGCAGTAACGCCGCTCTTCCTGGTGGGAAGTTGGTGATGAACACCGCTACACGTCAACTCTGGGGACGGCTGCTGCGATTGGCTGTCGTTAGTCACGTGTTTGTTTTGAAGATGGCGTCTCCAAATGGAGGTAAATTCTAATTCCTTACCCTGCTATGTTGTGTATACAATTTAAATTAGACATGTTTAAAGACATTATATCTTTAGCAACTCCTATGCCTACACAGAAGGACATACCAAGGCGACAGAAAACACATATTAACGCTGTATTTGTAATGTTTGGAGATGTTTATTACGTTGTCAAAGCCTTCACTAGCCCCAGTGTTGTTGCTGACCAATGTAAAGAAAGGGAAGAGACAATAAGCGTGAACCATCGTTCACACTGACCCACAAAACTGCTTCCAGCTACACACATAGCTAATCTCAGAAGCTTGCTGCCCTGCTATTAACAGGCTAAATCTGCTGTGTTTATAATTTGTGTAACGCCCAAGTGTTTTCATTCACAATAACGTGATCAGTCATGGGTTTCACTCCAATAGTCAGTCGATGTTCATGCTTTTGTCTTGTTTACAACACTAATGTTTAGGACTGATGTTGAATTTACAATTTATTAAAAACATTAAGCTATGACTGTATTTATTTTCCATGTAGTTGTCTTCCATGTTGATCACTTTCGTACACATGTTTGTGTGCTACCCTAAAGTATGGCAATGTATTACATTTCGACATAACTTACATATAATCGAACTATGTATTAACTTAGTATGTAAGCATTTTAATTATGTAGTATTTTAATGAATATATAGGCAATATATTTTCATATCTGATAAAACACACTAACATTGTATGTTATGTTATGTTGATATACTTTATTATTTACAACTCCTGACGTTTTCCTCATTAAAGGCACAACTTTTTCGTTTGAAAATGTAGTTTTAGTCAGATGTTAAGCACAATACTGTACACAATGTTATATAATGCCAGCTATATTGGTTCATCTCAGTAATTGAGAATTAAACATACACAGTAACTTTATTATTGCCTTTACTTTTATTCTTTCTAAAACTCTTACATTACATTATTGCAGTACAATGAATGCATTTTCCACATAAAGAGTGTGAAACCAAAACAAAGAAGTACATTTTGTGTTCTGATAGGTGACGATTTTGAGGGCTCTTTGCTGAGTTTTGAGAAGTTGGACAGAGCGTCACCAGACCTGTGGCCGGAGCGCTGTAAGTCTACATCCCCTCTCTGTTCCTGTGATTACTGTCCATGAGATTGTGTCCTACATTGCTATGATCTTAATTATCCTGTAATCTCTCGCACAGTGCCTGGAGTTGCAGAATTTGCTGCATCTTGTAAAAACGTGAGTTAAAAATAAGATTTACAAACTAGATAATTAAATAGGCTTGACATACTATGATATACTGTATAGGCCCCATCTATAAATCTTGTTCACTGAGACATTTGTTGTGTCTTACATCACAGCCTATCAATAATTCGCCCCCTAAATGGATGGCTGAACTAGAGAGTGAGGACATTGAAATGTTGAAAGGTAATGTACAACATTTTGTTTTTTTGTAACAATTTCAATTGTTTTTTGAACAGGGAGAAAGTAGACGGAAATAGTATAATCCTATCAAATGGGATCACATTTGCTGAAACTAGTTACACGTTGAGTTTTCATTATAGCTCCTGTTATCCTTCTGTAGAGCTGGGTAGTCTGACCACAGCCAACCTGATGGAGAAGGTCAAAGGACTTCAGAACCTTGCTTACCAGCTGGGCCTAGAGGAGTGTAAGTACCTGAACATCACACACCTGACGTTAAAAAGGTTCATATATAAATGTTTGGTTCCATTTTCACTTGAATACAATTTAAGTGAAAAGTATGCAAATGTACCATAAACAGATGCAAGTTGGTCCACGTCACCACTAGATGGTGCTCATAGCCTTTCTTGTAGCTAGTTGATTTCACAGCCTCCATATGTGCTTTCACTTTCAAGACCCAAACAGGCTGACTGCACATAGGCTCATATGTTTTAACCCAATAACATAATGGATCAAAATTGGAACCAGCCATTTTAAATCAGCTCTCCAGTTCTATGAAATAGCATAAATAGTTTGAATTGAGACCTTTATAAAGGTGTATTTAGGTCAATCTTGTTAGAGTGGAAAAGGTAGGAAAACAGGGGCATGCCCACAACAAGTGCTAAAGCATTTGATTGATGCAAAATCTAGTGTTTAATCCATTCTCCACAGCCTCCATTGTCATAATCCATGTGGATTAGAGAGCTAAGTGCTCTAAGAGACAAATGGGAATTTCCAGTGAAAAAGCAATGAAGAATTGTGATATAGCCTTCCCTCTTAATGGAAAGATATAAATACATGTTAATGTTTTTTTCCCCCTGGGTCATTTACATTCAACTAACATGCATAGTCAAGGCAAAATGATGTGATGTAGATAGTAAGGTTTTAAAATATTGCACATTTGACTGCTTTGTAAAACTCCATTAAGACAGCTTGTACTTGTGAATAAAGTTATGTAGAACATCATTTGGAAAGGCTTTGAAATGTGAGAGATGCATAAAGGGAAAAAAAACATCATCAAATGTGTAGGCAAGGGAGTTGACTCCTGAGTGATTGAACTGTGGTCTGCAATGGTATAATGCACAAATATCCAAATGAACATACCACAGGAGGCCTAGATAAGAGTAAAACATGATATCAGGCTGTAGCATGTGTTGTATTTGCATAGACCATAAGTCACAAATTCATTTAGTTGTAAAAGTGTCTAATCTCCCGCACCAACCCACAGAAGCATGTAATCTGGCTAGTATGAAGACGTTAGCTGTCACAGGTGCAGGCCTGCAGGCTTTGCAATCATGTCATGTTCCCCGCGATGACGGGACACAATGATGGTTATTATGGGTGTCGGAGCAGCCCTGTAATGGGTGCCTGTTTAATGCTCTCTGGTTTAATTTTCTCCTTTTCCTGGCTGTCAGGGAAGGCCTTGTAAATCTCAGCTACTTTTTCATCATGTTTGTGCACTCTTCAGTACCCGTAAACGAGACTCCTCAGACTCAGATTGAGGGCAGGAGGATAGGATTTACTACCCCTCCCCCTTCAACATGTGGACCATTAAAGAGGAAGCTGGTTAATGGGCACAGCACAATCAAGCAGTGAAACTCCCCTACTGCAGTTAGAAAGAGGACCGGGACCAAACATCATTACGCCATTTCCCCCCTGTGCCTCAAACATACCAAGACAGTGTTGGTTTCTGCCCTTTTTGCACATTTTGCACATTTTGCACTCTACATACTGTTGTACACACATGTTTGTACATAAGTATTAACATGGAAGTGACGGGGGTTGTAACACTCCCTTAATCCCCCCCTCACCCCCTCCTCCACCAGCACCCCCAATGATGTCTGAGTGACGCTTGCCCGCTCTAGTCCCAGAGGGGTTTGACGCGTGCCTCTTCCTCAGGCCACAGCTGCTACTCCACCCCGTGATGAATGCTCCTGTCGTGGGCTGCTGAGCGCGGGCATCAAGCCCTGAGTCTCTGGGGAGAGCTGAGGACTCTGATAAGTGCTGTTATTGGAGGTAATTGAAAGCTGAGTGTTCCTTTGGGACGTGCTGGAGGGCCGTGCTGCCGCGAACCACACTGCCAGAGATGGGGCTCTATCACACTTGTGGGCTCAGGGCTACCGACTACCGTTTAACTCTTCTCCGTGTAGGGTGGGCTGTTGATTAGGAAATGTTTCCAGGGTAGCCTTCGCTCGTTAACACATTTAAACCAATAACAGAATATTAGAAAGATGTGACTGACAAGTGGACTACAGCACTTGTAGGACTGAGTCACGTTTTTGAGTGATTACCTCATTTCTGATAATGGATTATATTTCAAGTGTGGGGCTTTTTAGGAGATGCCTCCACATAGGCTAGTATATGGGCCAGCTCACAAGTTGTCCCTTGGCAGAAATTGTAGAAGAAAATGTCCATTAAAATGTTAGGGGTTGGATAAAGCGGATAATGTACCCTTTTAAAAATAAATGAAACATTTAAAAAAAAAAAAAAAAATCTAATTTATGAAATCTTGGATATTAAAGGTGGGGTAGGTAAGTTTTAGAAACCGGCTCGAGATACACTTTTTGTTATATTCCATGGAATGCTCTTAACATCCCGATAGCAATGAATATCTTAAGTGCTTTGACAAAAAATCCATAAAAAAATGTCATCTGTGGAAGCCGTAATACTGTAAAAAGCACGACCAATCATTTTAGCCGGTCCGGCTAAAATAACTGGATGGCCTACCTGCCTGTCAGCCTTCCATCTGTGCACAAACTTATCTCATGCCCTCATTGGTCATGTGCGCGTTCGTGTGTGTTGGAGGAGGGGCTCTGTAAGGAAGTGGCAGATTTTCTCCGGTTGTGTATTTTCAAATTCTAGCGCACTCGAGCCGGTTTCTCCAAAATTACCTACCCCACCTTTAACTATGGAATATTAAAAATCAAACTCATTAGAAAAAAACATAAACTATACAAGTACGTTTTAAACTTGTGATGTCATCAAGTATAAAGTCCCAAACAAAGAACGGTCACCTGATTTTGTGGAACCAAATGTTGTATATACCCAAATTAGCTTTCTTCTGTTGTATTGTTTTCTTTTCTGACCCAGGAAATGTATCCATATACTCGGAACGCTTCCCTTGCTGCCTATCTGTGAACACCACATCATCTTTGCCAATTCATTGTCTAGGGAGCGGTACCAGGCTTTAAACTTGATGACACATTTGAGTTGTACAATCCACTCTTGTTCTCTGATCTCGGAAAGAGTTAATTTGACTGATATTCTTGGCCCGCCTTAGGCCACAGGACTATCCTGAATGTTTTTTTTGTTTTTTTTTAAATGTCCATAGTTCCCACTAACAATATAACAGTGTTTAAAACTGATATCTCGGTTAAAACAGCGTCTCACAGTGTGCTCTGTAGACCACCTGTTGTAGCTCTACAGAGCACCTCTCCTCTGATTATGACACATGGCGTAGACCCACCCTGACCCCTGTTGCATCTCCCTGTGTGAAGGTGAGACTGAAGGTCGCCCTGCCCTGACAGCTCCTAATGGGCCCGCGTTCACCCCCGCCTCCTCCTCCTCACCCTCAGGATCAATCTCCGGCCTATTAGAAGCAAGCCGCTGCTGAATATGATTGCATTCACCGGGCCCCACCGGTGCTAATGTGCCTCCATCAATCCATCAGGCGGCTGACCGCGGGGCGGGCCGTTATGAAGTGCCTGAGCTGACAGCAGCTGAATGAGGAACAGGGGATGCCTCCTCACCGCCTCTTGCCTTCCTCCTCCTCCTCTTCACCTCTACTACTCCTCTGTGCTCGTCTTTTGAACTCTCTCCTGTGTCTCTTTGGGGCTCATGGTTGCAATGAATGGCAGCATTGTGGTGCATCTATTTGAAGGGGACACAATCTGTGTGAGGAAAGTGAAATAAGCCTCAAGGATGGTTCCATTTTTGAAGCTCGTGTTTTTATCAGCGTAATGTGTAGTAACCTTGAGCCTGGTGGGGAGAGTTTTCTCAAATTGGCTCCCATAGTTATATCTTTTCAAATAATTGGGCGTGCTGACTGAGAAAAGAGCCGCTACTATAGTGATGAACCATGGTTGGAAAATCTTTAGCGGCTCCACACACATTTTACAACTGGCTGACACGAGTAGCAGGTTGCAGCTGTATCTGATAAAGCCTGTCCATATCTCAGGCAGGATCAGTGTTAGAGCTGTGCGAAAGCAGAGGCAGACACACACACACACATACACACACAACGCTCCTCAGTTCTGCCTGCCTGCCGCCTCCATGAGCAGATCGGAAATGACACCTCATTTCCATAAAGGCATTAGGAATTCATTGGATTTTCTTTCCCAGCTAATCATGGCGCGGGTGTAAAACCTTTTAGGCTTTTTAATGAATGATTTTTGACTGATTGCCTATTAATAAGGACACCTCTTGAACAGGCGTCGGCTGGGGCAGGGGTTGGGAGGTGCAGATGTGTTTTGTTTTGGTGCGTGAGTGTGTGTGTGAGTGTGTGTCAGCCAGGCGAAAATGCATTGGAGGAGAGGATGAGGGAGGGGGGGGGGGGGAGCCTCTCGGTTGGGACATAAAGAGGAACCAGTGGCTCCCCTGGGAAATCACAGCTCGTGTCTGCATCTTAAATATCCCTGTGAAGTATCAATAAGTGGGTAATTGAATTTTGAACACAAACATGAGCGTCAGGTGTATGTGTTGCATGGTGGGGGGGGGGGGGGGTACCGCGTCGGCGGTATGTGTGTGCCTTCGAGTGTTTCTTCGCCTGTGTGTTGGTGTGTGTAATCTCCTCTGTGTCTCCCCTCGTCCCCCCCGGGGAGGACGGCGGTGAGAGAGGATGTTAAATCCATTAAATAAAGCTTACAGCCCGTAATAGCTGAGCAGCACTCGGAGATGGGCAGAGGGGGTCAGATAAGTCCTCTTAACTCTTAATGAAAGTGAATTGGGGCAGTCAGGGCGGGGGTCCAGGACTCCAGTTAACCCAGGTGGTCATCTGTCTTTGGAGCTAACGGGGGTCTAGAGGCTCACCGGGAGCGTGCCATGGGGGGGGGGGCGTGTTGTGCGGGGGGATGTTGTGCCCCCCGCGAAGCGATGATTACTCTCATTTAATACACAGGGGAGTGGTGGGGGGGGGGGGCTGGGAGTGGGCCGTGACAATGACACCCAGATCACTCACCGTAAACCAGGGAAAGTAAGATGTTACACAGCCAAGCATTTACATCTGAGCCACCGGGGATTCGCTCAGTGAGAAGGAGGTGCCAGGGCAGAAAATTACAGACATATTTTGGTTACACCACAAAATGTTAGTAGTTTTAATCCTTGCTGTATGGCGAGGTAACATCATAATATGTAAAACAAGATAAACATCTCTACCATACATATTTTTCTGTACATCGCTTCTATTTCGTCATTCAGACTTAGCCTATTTGACTTATTTTCCCAGATTGAATTCTCCGAAAAAAGCGTGACTTAGTTTTTCATGTATTCATTGTTAGACTCAATCCAAATACTAGAAATATCTCAGTATCAAAAGTTATCAAAATATGGAATGACTTCTTAGTCCTTTTAGCATAACTCGCTGTTAAAATATTTGCTAAAAGGGCATCATTTTAAATAGCCTCGGGGCATATTTAGCTGTTTGCAGATATAGGTTAATCTCCATTGTTGCATTGTGCCTCAGCAGCATTACCCAGGGTGAAATCTGCAGCCAGAGGATTACTGGTCTGATGTTGGATTTGCAGATATAGGAGCCTTCAGCACGCTCTTCCTTTATCTGCTCTCAGACGTCCTCATTCTTATGATAACCTAAGCTCTGTTTTACATAATGTGTCTATTTACGGATATAAATGATGTCATACCTTTAAAGGTCCCATGTCATGCTTTTCCGGTTATTACCCATCCCATCGTGTGTTATGTAGCTTTTTCTGCATGTAAACGGTCTGCAAAGTCACAAACCCTCAAAGTACACCCTGTAGCGAGTACAACTCTAACACAGAAAAGACGTGTCTATGCTGCCCCAGAACGTCCACGCAGACCCCACGCAGCAACAACAACAACAACAGCAAGCCAGCTCACACTGTCCGCTCCAGCAGCGAACCCCAAACCGTCCCGCCAACACGGCACCCAGACCCCACGCAGCATTCTCATCTGTTTGTCATTACTGGTGTAATTTTCTGGTTGCTAACAAACGCCATGGTAACACATAATCACTGATGTTCCGCTGTAACGGTGGTGGACTCAGCAGAACAGAGTGGGTAAGCTGACCAATCAGAGCACAGTGGGCTCACAGGGAGGGGGGGGGGCAGGAGCTCCAACAAGCCGTTTAGGACAGAGAGTGAATACACATACTTTACAGAGATGTTGTATGAGAAACCAATGTGAGTTTGGAAAATTGCACAATGTAAATCTATTCTAGTAGACCTCAACAATGGAATTATGATCAGTAGAAATGGCCATGACATGGGACCTTTAAGATAACAATGGACGGCAATGTAGATATATGTCGAATTGTTATATTCTGTATAATGTGTCTGTGTTGCTAAAGTATCACGGCATACGGCGATGGAATCTCAGACCAGATCGTGCAGAATGATAATTAGATTAGCAACAAATCAACAGGGCCAGGAGATGGCCCTCACAATCCATAAGGTGTCATTTAGTATGGATGGCAGTGGAAACAAGATGCTGATTAACTTAGTGCAAAATTAGTAATTGACCTTTCTAATCAACTAAACAAATCTCTAAAGTCCCACTAATCAGTATTGATCTCCCCTGTTGTATGACAAAGTGTGTGTGTGTGTGTGTTGTGTGTGTGTGTGTGGTGTGTGTGTGTGTGTGTGTGTGTGTGTGTGTGTGGTGTGTGTGTGTGTGTGTGTGTGTGTGTGTGTGTGTGGTGTGTGTGTGTGTGTGGTGTGTGTGTGTGTGTGTGTGTGTGTGTGTGTGTGTGTGTGTGTGTGTGTGTGTGTGTGTGTGTGTGTGTGTGACTGTGTGAGACTGTGTGGGCGTGTAACATGTAGAACAAGCTAGTGTAGTACAGTTCAACATTTGAATTGAAATCAATAATTTATCATCAGGTTTTTAACCAAGAAATGTCCAAGAGAAGTCTATTTTGACATTTATGCTACGTGTTATTGTCGAGGTCCATTTCACGGAAGATAATTTGACACGTTACAGTTGTTAATGATTAATCATTGATGGCTGAATGCCATTTAGCTGCTTCAGTTTCAGTGTACTGGTATAGCATGTTCTCATACGTCATAATAGCTAAGTTCCCTATGCTAATGTAGCATGAATAAATATAATAATAATAATGGATAACACAAATCCAGATCAGCAAAAGAAAGTGAATGAATGCATTGTACCATCCACTATCATTATGAAGATAATTGTCATGTCCGGTGCCATTCAACCATTGCAGAAAAGGCTGCAATGAGTGTCAGTCCAACGGCAATTATACAAATACTAGGAACGCGTGATGAAAATCAGGCATTCATGTTTCTTTCATACATTTCTTTGAGAAGATTACATTTTGTCAAGGCTCCAGACATATTTACCTTTTTTATCCGTCACAATCTTTCGTGTCTTCAGAGGAGATTTAAGTTGCATGCTTCGTGCAAGTTATGATTTATTCACAAAATCCTTTTCCTTTGCACTTTGCCCCGTTAAGCTTTTGTCAACACACAAACTTTCCACCTCAGTCAAACATAGGAACCTTTTTTGAGTCCCATATTACGAGGTATTGTAATGCATATATTAGAAAAAGTACATTGTTAGTGTTATTAGGAACACCCTTTTTTGTGAATAACTCCTATTGTAGCTCTTTCGGTGGTCTAACTATGTATGCTTTTAGCTGGAGTTCATCCAGCATGCATTATTTCATATTCTGTAATAACCTGCTGAACACCTTCCCCCATATTTCCCTTTCATAAAAAGAGGGGCACACATCATAACTTGAGCACTGATTTATGTTTAATGGGGTCTTTAACGTGATGGTATCAGTAATATTTCTGTCTGAGCGGTGGGAGGCTGAACTGAACCGTAATTAATAAGACGCTCAGCGGGGCGAGGGGTCTCGGGAGGAGGGGCCCAGCCATCCTGATCCGTTTTACAGTTAGGGCTCATCAAGAGACGGGGAAAGTGATAACAAGAGAGAGAGAGGGAAGCATGGTACCTTTCAAAAGTATCCTTTACCGTTCCTAGTGTAACTGCTCCTAATAAGGAAGTGACATCAGAGCCCTTGCGGCATGAGGGTCATCCCGAAGTAATTGCTTTCCCTCGCTTTATTTTGATGGCTGTATTTCAATCTAAAGCACCCTATGCATGTCCCGGGGTCCCCTGATGACTTTGTTTAGGGTGATTTGAAGAGACAGCAAAGTGCAGAGTGAATCCATCCCATTCCAATTAGCATCATCTTTAACCTAATGAGGGACACCTCAAGGTGACGTGGCCCCCACGCCCAGATGCACCATTATCATTCCACACTGGGCAACTCATCTAAATTACTAACTGGCCCGGCTTTTTCATTAGCCGCTGTGGGCGGAGGAGGGGGGAGGGGGGGGGCTTCACACAGGCAGACAGCAGCCAGCTGAGATTGTGATCATATTCTTCTTGTAGGCGTCAGGACGGTGGATGACTTTCTGCTAAATGCCCGGTTGATATCCTTCCTCTCTCTGCTGCTCTGTTGTCTTGTATTTGGCTGATGAGCAAGGTTAGTTAGAAACTGATCAGAGTCGCTGATGATCTCGGCAGCTCATAAAAACTGTAGAGCAGCCGGGTCCTATTGTTATCTGAACAAAGAGTGATTACTACCTGGATGGTGCATCTCAGGGTTTCTAATGATGCTGCAAGGAGGTCTGAGAGCCAGTTATTGCTCTCCCAGTGAAGACCACCCTCACAAAGAGCCTTCAGCAGGGCGGTGTCTGTGTCACGTAGTTGTGTTGTTGTTTACTGAATCCCAACCAAACATGCTGCTGTGTAGAGCCTTTAGTAGTGTGTTGTATTTGCATCACAGATGTCGCACAGACTTTACAAGATGGAGAAAAAGAGTGAAGCTGGAAAACATAATACCATATATACTATAATACCAATTATGCAGGTGTGATTTTGTTATAATCATTGGTACATTCATTTACAGAGGTTACTAAAAATGGCCTTTGGGAGAACAACTCAACAGCCAATGTGCGATATAAGCATTTTACGACAAATATAATGCAAAATCCAGGAACATATCTAGCGTTATGTCACGTTAGGACAGTGTCAAATATATCTCCAAACTCAACCATCAAACACTAATAAAGGGAGTAAGGAAACAGAGCTAAAGACAGAGTATTTGGTTCCTTTAAGTTTCCTTCAAAACAAAAGAAATCATATCTGTAGCTTCAAATACATTTGAATACAATACTGTATTTATTCACCGGATTGTTTTTTCTTCTTAGATTGTTTAATTTTAACTTGTTTTTTTTATTTGAAGGAATACAATAAGCATATCCAACATTAAATAAATAAATAAAATAGCAACAATCAGAGAAATGTTTTCACAAAATAACAATGGTATTGTGTAGCATGATGTTTTGCATTATTTCCTCACATGGCCCCTCAAATGTATTCCTTTGGCTTAATAGGCATATTTACTACTTTTAGCCTTGTTTTTGCTTAAATTATTATTGCTATTTCGCCTTACATCTATCTTTTAATTATTTTTGCTATTCATTTGTCGCTTATTTTAAACATGGTTATATTACATGTTCACTAGTTGAGGTTAATAGTGATAATAATAATCTCTACGCACTCCTCCTGCAGTCACACGAACACACACTCTCATGCACGCGTAGGTCTGAGTACTTGTGCCTCACTACATTGAGACGGCGATAAAGCAAATCACAAGACTCTTTGGTGGCTACGCTTCCATCTTATCTTGTTTTCCATGTCCTGAATGAACAGATGTTTGTATAAATTACCCCGCGGTGTGACACTGTAGATATTAAATACATGCTTTGCATTTTTAAACAACAGTTCTGAAGTGGTTAGAGCTGCAGGCAAATGTTGTGGAAGACTGACTGATTTACCCAACTTATGAAGGGTTGTTGGGAGGGTGTGAAGCATACTGGAGTATCTTACCAGCATAATAAATGAAATATATATCTATTAACCTGAACATTACTTCAATATGTGATGTGTCTTCTTGTTTTCAGCCCGAGAAATGACCAGGGGGAAGTTCCTGAACATATTGGAGAGGCCCAAGAAGTGACGTTTTTATTTTCTACAAGCAACAACAAATGTGGGCACTGAAAGGTGAATTAGTTCTATGCATTAAACAGTATGCTCTGAACATGTTCAGACCTTCACTACACATTTCAAAAACCTTTAATTGAAGCAGAAATGTTCCCTGGAGGCTGAGGTCTCTTCCTGCTGTCCTCCAAGACAGATGCCTTTACATCCACAGAAACTCAAAATGATGTACCACCTCTTTCTGACTTTCTGTCCCTTGTAGGCAAGCCTTGATCAAATGTTCCCTATTTATTCTTCCTTCTATTTTAAACATGATTTACATTTTTTTCAATTTCTGAAGTTGTATAATAAAGTTTTAAAATGAAAAGACGATTGCTTTTTTATTTGACGTCCTCTTGAATGATAATGAGTGCAGACAAAGCGTATAACTTTTGTGCTTTTTTGTTCAACTTTTAATTAGGGCAGTTCTTTGACGTGCATCAACTCTCGGCTGCGACATGTAAGCAGCTCCGACGTGAGAGTGTTTTCCCGGCTACCGGGGCATGTTTTCCATTTAATGAGCATTGGAAGCAGGGTCCCCTTCACAAAACATTGCGTAAAAATAATATTGCTCATTGTCATCGCCTTTAATGAGAGCTGACATAATTACTAGGACCATTTCTTTTCTAATTAGCACACTTCAGTGTTGTCGGAGCTAGTGGCCGGGCAAAGAGTGAATCGGACAGGCATGCCGAGAGGGAAACAAAAAGAAGTCCATCGGCCATAATTAGGTGAGACAATGCCTCGGACTGTTCTCGGCTGGAGATGTCGCAGGGTTTCTGCCCGCTCACTCCCAACAAGTTACACTTCTCCCCGGGCCGCTAATAAGCCCCTAATCTCCTTTCCGATTCACACGGACAGAGGCCGCCAATTCCTCAGCAGCCTCACCCCCTGCCTCTCACGCGGACCCTGGCTCACCCCTTTTTCTTTTTCTTTTTAAATCACTGGTACAGCTTCACATTTCAGAGAGTGGCTTCTTCAGTGTTGCTGCTGGAGTGTGATGGGAGAGGCAGAGAGGACGCACCATGGCCAGAAAGTACATTTGTATTTAGGCTGTGTCCTAATACTCATAGTATTATTTATTTGATATAAGAGCACAATAGAACATCCAAATACAGATGCCTAATCCTATCAATAACCTATAACTGCCAAATTGTCCTGTTACAAAACCAGCCATCCAAAAAACAAAATATAACTCTTTCTGTTGCCATTAAAGGCTTGTAGAGGTTACATTTATATATACATTTTTCTTATTTAACGGGGCCTATTACAATTATTATATGATAACAACATTTCAGTGTTTATTAGTGGAATAGTGGCTTTATTAAGAGTAGATAAAGCCCTCCATAGGCTTTGTATATCAATAATAAGTTATCCTCCTCCAACCTACTGAAAAGAGATGTAGAGCATGTGAAGCAAAGGGATTTTTCAACTAGATTTTCCCACAAAACTTTATGAACTACTTATTATTACATTTAATTGCAGACTTGATGGCTTCTCTCAGAGTGAAAACCCCTCCATTTTTGCAAATGCACTGCAAATCTTTAAGTATCATTACCAGGTAGAAAGGCTAAACATGATCAAGAATTCAGATTTAGCATGAGTAAAAGTAGCACACTGAAAACACTGGATTTGAAAGTAAAAGTCCATCGTTGAAAATGTTAAGTGCATCAAAAGCTAAATGAATAGTAAAAGTACACTTTCTACAGGAAAATTGATAATGTAATGTTTCCATTCAAGTATTTATGCGACCATGCTGTCACTGGTTGCATGGACACTTGTTGATGCTGACTTGATGAACATTCAGTCTGCTGAGTGCTGACATGGTAAGCGACCTGACATCCCCAATATGGTGCACGCACTGGTGGCTGCCCGTCACCCGCAGCCTTCCTGCAGCCAGACAGCCTTTTCGAGAAACAGGTCAGTCCCTGCTGAGCTGGTCATTTGTATGGAGAGAGAGAAAAAACCCTCAGAGCCCATCCATCCATCCATCCATCCATCCATCCATCCATGCAGCAGTGCGTTGCTTTGACCTCACGAAACCTCTGTGCCCCGACAAACGTCAATCCGATGTGCCCCGAGTCCTTAAATTAACTGTCAATTAGTGCAAATTAATCAACTCCTCGCCTAATTAAGCAATGCCGACGGGCACCTAGCAAACATGCCATTGTGGAGGAGCCATGAGAAAGCTGCGGGGCTTGCAAACTCTTTTTGCACTGGGGAGGGGAGAGGGAGAGGCAGGTGGGGGCATTGTATCACATCACGCCCTGCAAGTGCTTTGGGAAAGCATGAGGCTCTGGCTGTGCTTTAGTCTTTCCCCTGACTCTGCTCTACATGGTTGCTGTCATCAGGCTGTCCTGCACCCTGTTTCAACAACGGGGATCAGCTTGATTTAGCAAAAAAGAACTGAAGAACAGCAGCTTCCTGCATAACAGTTCCTAATGTCTAAGGGGAAGCATTTGCTTACAATCTGTTTTGCAGATCATTTTACCACTCTGATCAAAAAACTGAAACAAGTGACTCTGAGATGATCCTTCATCTGCTGTTGATCATGCATTCAGCTTTATTTCCAGTGGTGCTGTGACCTTCCTGCAAAAGAGAAAGTTGTCTTCTTATTTATTCATTACCACAGATGCATTTCAAGCTTTAGCAGTCACATCAGCAGGATATGATATTCATTATAGTGGGCGGTTTTTGCTTGCAGCTGCTTATCCGTTTTTTACCTGCAGCAGAGCAGAGGTACACCTGTTTGAAGGTTACAGGCTGGGTGCGTTCAGCACTGCTCTTTCACATCTGGGCTGTTAACATCATTTGTGGTAGTTTGAGAACACTTTGTTCCTAATCCTGCATTATACGCCTTAAAATGCCAGAAGTGCAGAAACAGGAGGAGTGAGGGGAGCTGAGAAAGGATGTTGGGTTAAGGGGGTGGGGAGGCAAAAGAAATGTCTAACAGCTGTTTGCTTTTTAATCTGAAGCCGTCAGATCCTTTAGGTCTTTGATGGGCAACACGAATGACTGAACTAAATCATCCCTTAATCTAGAGCCTTATTAGGGAGCCTCTTTTCTGCATGTAAAACAGCATGCAGGCATTTTCACAAGAGATTATTAAAATCCATACAGAGAGGAGAAGTGTTGCACTATATAAACAAACGGAAAAGGCCTGTATGGATTGCAGCAGCGTGATGATGGAGTGAGAGGGGCAGTAACTCCCCTGTAATTGACGGGTCATCCTGACTCACACCCTTCCATGTTAATAAATGACTTAATCCCAACAGGCTGATTCGTCATTAGCATACCGTAATAACATTGATTTCTTCATTAATAGAATTTCCACTAACTAGGCCCTAATTATTTTCAACTGGCCAGCCACTAATTGCAGCAGCAATAATTTTCTCCTTCTTGATCAGCAGCTCATTCCAAACTGTTTGATATTAAATATGACTTTGCTGGGCGGATGTGTTGAGGCTGGGTGTGCCTGTAAATCGTAATTCATGCAGTTTTAGATTACGTTTTTGTGTTGTGCATGTTGTATGTCCATCTTGGCCCAGTTACCCAGCATTTTCTTTTATTGCTACTTTAGGAAAACAAATGTATTTACTCCATTACTTGCGTTATTATTGCATTGTTATTATTGGTTTATACCTTTGTTAATGCCCATGCAAGCAGTGTGTATCTGTTGGAAGCCATTCACCAATATGCACATCATTGGCCAATATCTTGTTCTAAATGATTCGCAAAAAAAAACATTGTCACTGTTATCAGCACTAAAATTATACCATAGGGAAGTAGTACAAAAGTGGAAAAAAACATATTCATCCATGAGTTTATATTTTTGCACAAATATGTAAAATTAGCTTTATCTCAATGACATTATTTTCTCTTTTAACTCAACACACTTATTATCTTATTGACCCTAAAAAAATCGAAAATTGAAAATAAACTTGGTCTGCTTCTTTTGTATAATTAGAATATTTTAGGGTAAATTAAAAAATCCAATAACCCATAATAAGCATATGATTTTTGTCTTCTCCAATTAAGTCAAATGACAGACATTTAAATAAATCACATTCAAAACGAGTGTTAAATACAAATAAAACATATTTCTTCAATAACATCAAATGTTCAACAACTCCCTGACACCAAACATCTGCCATCATTTGTCTAAAGAAAAATATTTAAGCCTACTTAACTTTCCCTTACCAGACATATCCTTTATACAGTGTAATGTTTAAAATGACGGTTTATTATTTATTTAGCCCATTAAACCAGTTATTAATATTTGCTTAGTGAATTACAAAAAAATTAGTACAAGGTCAGGTAATTATTTATTAGTCTTTCTTTTGTGTCCCATATTGAGTCTAATGCTCCCTGTACTCCGGGGAGATGTCCCTGCTTTAATCTGTTGTCTGTGCTGCTGCTGTGGGATTAGCGCGCGCCGGCCTGCAGCTCTGTGCTCCGTTGCGTCCAGCTGTCGCTTTTTGGGAGGGCCTTTGATTTGCGTGTGATGAGTTTCCCATAGCATCTGGAGATCAATTATCCATCCGTGTGAGCCAGTGGTTGAGCAGAGAGATCATAGCTGGCTGTGTGTGTCTGTTTTTGTGTCTGTTTTTGTGTGTGTTGTGTGTGTGTGTGTGTGTGTGTGTGTGTGTGTGTGTGTGTGTGTGTGTGTGTGTGTGTGTGTGTGTGTGTGTGTGTGTGTGTGTGTGTGTGTGTGTGTGTGTGTGTGTGTGTGTGTGTGTGTGTGTGTGTGTGTGTGTGTGTGTGTGTGTGTGTGTGTGTGTGTGTGTGTGTGTGTGTGTGTGTGTAAACCATTCAGTGAAAGGCAATACCTACTGATTTATTCCAGGAGATTGAGGTAATTTCGCAGCATTTCAAAGGAAAGGAGGTGTTAAATAAAATTGAATTAGGCCTGATTTTCTAACGAAAAAAGGAAATATCTGCAGGCAGAAAATGTAGTTTAAACATAGTTGTGTGTCTAGTTCTAGTTTTAATGTTCCTTATCTTTGTCATATTTAATATCTAATTGCAATGATACTACTTCAGGTTTCCATGCAGTTTTTATTCTCTGCAATTCGCCCTGCATATGAAGACAGTCATTTCGTTCCTTTCTTTCTTTAGCCTAAATCTCTTCCTCGTTTATCCATATAGTTCTGAGGAAAACGCAGATATGTATCCGAGAGGGCGTTTAATGCATCCATGATCCACAGGAATCCTGAATCCTTGCAGCTGATTGGCTGCTGGCTCCTGCCTCTTGTTGGGATGGACCTGTTGGATAAAAAGACCATTTTCTAAAGGGCTCTTGGTGTGTTACAGAGGATCATGCACTGGGGA